ACTTGTTCTTTCTGTCACTACCTAATATTAATTATCTTCACATCAAAGTTTCTCAACTGCAAATTATTGTGGTAATCGATGGTTTTTTTTATGGACTTAATGACGATATTGATGATATCATAAGAGTACATGGAACATGATTTATCATTGGCAAGGGCAGATGTGAAGGCTAGTAGTCATTCATTGAAGAATTGAATTTTAACATATATTTTATTGAAATACCTATGTTTCAACCGATTTCTACAAAGACTACTAGGAACATTACACTTTAGGTAGGAATAAGGCCTGTTCAGATATACGTACGCGGTATTCGCTACTGCTGTGGGTAGCGAAATCCGAATGGCTATGCGGTATTCCTACTGTTCAAACCTATGCGGATATCGCTACCGCTGTGTATAGTCAATTTTTTTTTATTTTAGCCCACAGAAACAATCACTTCCGTGCCATCAGTGAATAAGACCTTAATAGTTACAAAGTTAAGTTGGAAGAAACCCCCTTTATGGGATAAGCTCGCTTTTGTACAATAAATATACAAAAGATCATAGCCCGAAATATGACCTGGTAATTGGATGTTTGCGTACAAAAACCACATTAGTTTTGAATTATACAGTTACCAACCAATTATAAACTGCCTCCGTGGTCAAACGGTTACCAGGCCGGACTGCCACGCGGAGGTCCCAAGTTCGATACCCGGGCCGGGAGAAATATTTGTATGGCCTACATTTATTTCTCTCGTGAGTTTGGGTGTAATTTGTGGTTGTCTATGTGTGTGTCTATGGCACCCGCGACACAGGGTTTCCCTAGTGAGGGGCTATGTTGAGTGTGAGTGTGTGCATTTAAAAAAAAAATTCATAAAAAAATAGGGGTTAACATTTAGCAGCGCAATAAAGATCTGATGTTAAACATACTTTTATTTATGTGAAAACATTAATTAGGTTATTGTCAGACTTTCTGTCAAAATATATCTCGTCACATTCGTGTGCGGTCAGTTGTAATAGGAATACGACCGAAATCGCTTTCTGGATGATCACAATAATTACAAAACACACAAATATTTTGCATTAACATACATTTTTTATCGCTTATATTTTATCTGAATACTTTTTTTTATAATACCTAGTGACGGGACGAACAAGTCGTGCTCCTGGTGGTAAGCGACACGCCTGTTTATAACAGTGCAGTGCCACTCAGAGTTTTATATCATAAAGATCTTAAAGGGACTGCCACTACGCCCGCCACCCTGAGTCATAAGTTAGCAAGTCCCATGTGCCTGTAATGTCACCAGCACCCTTACCCTTCCAAACCAACTCTCAACCAAACCTCACATTACTGCTTAGCGGCAGAAATAGGTAAGGAGGCAGTACTTCCCTGGACGAACTATTATCGTTTTTGAATCTTACGAAAAGTTGTAATTTTAAATACATTCCGATTTGTCAGAAAGTCCTACCTACTTCAGTTAATTATTAATTATGGACATTAATATACTTAGGAAGTTGTTCACTTAACTACAGAAAATACACCCGATTTATACAAATAATAAAATATATTGTAATAAAAATATAACTTGGATTTTATTAGGAGTGTGGGCGGGGATAGACCAACAACGAGTGCACGTAACATACGAAAGTTAAATAAACTAATTATTTCAAAACAAATACCGCTCATTTAAAATAATGTTCATTTATACCAATTTCACTTCCTCTAAATTAACTTCATATAATTCGTGTTTGATGTAACATTCACATTTTACAGTTTTTTTTTTTTAATAAAGGTCATATTTTGTAACAATCATTTCATATTGTTGTCAATTTAGATAATTTTTACGTGGTATATAATAAACCCGGCTCGCCATGGTACTCGTCTGTTCGACACTAGGAGTGTAATTTAAAAGCCGTAGGTGCGGACGGAGAGTAGTTTCCTTACTATAGTTTACAATGCTGAATTTTCATTTCGACAAAATTATTATGGTTAGACACTGGATTCCTCAGTGGTTTAGATGAAACAAACGTATTTTACATAGGCCAAATCTTGGTTGCGGCTCCCATTCAGTAGGTTAGGTTAGAACATAAAGAAACAGCACAAGTCAAGCGAGCGTCTCGCGGCAGCTACCAGCCAGTGCCAGAAACTAATTTCTTTGCGTTTCCGAACATGTCTTCAGTCCAAATTAATTAGTATAATAGTAATATTAGAGATACCGTTTCTCGCAAATAATCCTACTTCTAGATGAAATTAAATTTAGATAAAATGATGTTATGTTAACTGTGATTTATAACTTATGATCGTTTTTAAAAATGAGCGTAGTGTAAATGATGATTATAAAAAATGAAATTATAGAATGTAAGTTTATATTAAACGTTGGTTATATGAAGTGAATTACTATATTAAATGAGTTTATAAAGTTTTGTAAATAAACCACTATAAATAAAAAATATTATATTTACCGCTATCTAATTCATTTTTAGTAGCAGTAGAGCCTCTTGTGAAAGAGTTCGTCCAAGGAAGTACTGCCTGCCACCTTACCTATTTCTGCCGTCAAGAAGTCAAAGTTAAAGTCAAATAATCGTTTATTCCATATGTAAAAATTTTTACACTTGAAAACGTCATTTTTTAAGCTACTTTTTAAACAACTGCTCGTTCACTACGCTGACCTCCTTGAGAAGAACGAGCAAGAAACTCTAGGGATTGCTCTTATCAAATAAACTTAAATGCTATGGAATACACTTTGAATCATAATTGTGTGGAATCTAGACAATTGTTGTCTTTCCATACTTTTTTATCTAAAACATACTCTTCAATTTTGTAATATAACTTTTCAATTAAAATACTTTTAAGGTAAGTTTTAAACTTAGGAAATGATAATCTTAATAAATTCTCCGGAATCTTATTGTAAAAACGTATACAGTTCCCCATAAAAGAATCGTTTACCTTAGTTAAACGAAATCGTGGTACCATCAGTTTGGACTTAGTTCTAAGGTTAATATTACGAATATCTTCTTTCTTAATGAAATTATGTATATTTTTACGCACATACAAAATATTTCAGTAAATGTACAGAGATGCCACAGTCATAACACTCATGATAGTCCTTAAACTTTTCTCTCAGAGAAACCCGAGAACCTAAACGGTACACAGAACCAATCGCTCGTTTTTACAACACAAATATGGTTTGTGTATCTGCCGCTTTACCCCACATGAGAATCCCGTAGGACATTATACTATGGAAGTAACTACGCAACAACGGTAAGCTCACGTATTCTACGGACTACGTATGCAGCAGAGCTTAACCAGCAGGTTAAGGAAGATACATGTCGAAACCATTGAAGTTTACTATCTAAGGTCACTCCCAAAAAGACAGCTTTATTAACAAGGTCTAACTTTTCTCCATTTATTTCTATGATTGGACTAGTCGGTTTTACATTAGGTAATTCAAATTTAACACACTTTGTCTTTTTGGCATTGAACAATAAATTGTTAACATTAAACCAATCCACTACCTTTGAAAGTGTATCGTTAATATTACCATAGTTAACGTCAAGTACTGTAAGAGTTTCAGTTTTGAAGGGTAAGGGTGTTGGTGAAATTACTGTCATATGGAACTTAGCGAGAACTATCCCTGTAATCTCATGGTAGATGCACAGGTGGAAAGTCCTACTGAATAGTCAGACCAATTTTTTTGAAAAGCCTGAGAGCAAAATAGGACTTATTTGTGATTTTAGTGCCGGAAACCAATATTCTCGTAGACAACAAATTTATTCAATCCTTTTTTAGAACGTTTTCAGCTTGCGACACTAATATCTTCGTATATCTATTGTCTTTTTGTCATTTAGTTGCTGTAGAGCTTCTTGTGAAAGAGTATGTTCAGGGAAATACATTTATGCCGCATCACCTTACCTATTTATGCCCCTCATTCCTTTGTGATTTAAAGTACTGAATGGCACTGCAACCGTTATGGACAGGCGTGACGCTTGCCACCAGGCCTGCGACTTGTTCGTTCTGTAATTTTATGTCATACAAAAAAAACTACAAGTATGTAACGGTAACATTACAATCTTTAATTTATACAAAAATGTTTAATTATAATATTTAAAAAAATAATTCACACCATATTTGTAGGGTAATAACTTATTATAATCATGTAAATCCTTCACAAAATAACATCTTTACAATTAATACACCCAACTTAAGTATTTAACATTAAACATACGTGTGCAGTACACACATTTACAAACTAGACGAAGGAAACGGAAACTATTACAGATGCATGATGTTGCATGATGTCCAGTAATATACATAAAAGTCACAAATGTAAGCAGAAGTCGTCAAAAATGTGTCATGAAGATAAAACGTGTATGTTTGTGTGTGTGTGTGTGTGTGTGTGTGTGTGTGTGTGTGTGTGTGTGT